GTTTTACATACACATAGTCCGTGAATGCAACAATGTGTCGACCGTTAGATATAATTTTTATTTGTTAATCGGTCATTTGTGTTCATCGTGCAGTACGCGCAAGCTAAGTGTTTTTACATCCAACACGTTATAATATGGGCATTTCCCTAGTATCAGTTGCTAATAAGCCTTTCAGTTTTTTAAAAAAATTCATGTGTTCCAAAAAGCCCTACTTATTTGAATCGAAATACAAAAAATATGAGAGTTTTGTATGCAACATATTACACGATAAGTTACATATATCATTATCATCAATTGCGACGTAATTGGGCATCTGTAGAAACCCTCATTTGCCTATAGGCGAGACCCACGTTTTCCATACAATGCATGTTATCGAATTACCAATGTATGTCCTCGAACCAATGTTACTGGTTGGATTACTTTGAGAAGGGCTGATATACTATGTTTGTTGTTCGCCGTATGCGCCAGTTGCTTGTTTTTATGATGAACACACAGCGATCAATCTTCATATTACGTGGCATTCATTTGCTTATTTTGTTAGCCTGCCTAGAAAAAATAATTGCGTGCGTTACTTTGTTCCGTAAGTGTATTACTGAGCAAGAATTTAATTTCCAATGGCGGTCTATGTCAGTTCTAGTTTACAATCGGTATTAAATAGTTCAGCCATTTTGCTCAAAAATGCACGTTTTTAAAAATGATATGTTAGTTGAAGTGGTAGTGCAGCTCTGCCTATCCATTAAGTTTGTACTTTTTATTGTACATTGTAATTAGTAGAGCCACCTATGTGCTTATGTCCATTGAACATCGAGTGACCTTCGGAAGGCGGTTTCACGTTTTACTCCGTTCGTCGTTCTACGCGCTATGTCAAATTATTTCTTGAAAATGGTCAGATGGTTTGGGATAACTGCGAGATTCCAACTTCATTCACTGCCTATCCACATGGCCTCTATAATACGTAGATTTACTTTTTATATCTAGACAAATGTTGCGCATACTGAGCGCGAAAATAACAGCTTTTACTCTAATAAGAATGGTGATTGCAGAGGTCATGCGCCGAATATTTTGAATTTAAATGAGGACTTTAATTTCCTGCTTGTTAACGTTTATTTAAAGCATGTCCTAAAACAAACATTTATTTTAGAAACCAAAACGTGCCCTGATGATCAAGGCAACTTCCATATTTCGAAGATAGCCGAGCATCTTATCAAACGCGTCTTGTATTTTGCTGTAGTGGGGGAAATTTTCGACTACCAGAACTGTTCGTACAACATTACTCTGAAAGGCAAAACTTGGGTTACTTTTTGTTTTCAGTTGAAAAATTCAACTTGCAAAACCTATGATGAATACTTCTGCAAAACTGTTTGTGATAGTGCGCTGCTCTCAATAAATGGGGTAATTGCATTCCTTTGGTTTAAACGCACTACTAACTTTTAAAATATCACGAACCAATCTAGATTACTTAATTCTTTAGGAGGAACCTGATACATATGAATCAACAGATATTCCCATCTACGTAACTCTAAAGATTTCCAAATGGAATACAGGACTTTTTGGTCCAAACATTGTTGGAATTTCGGAAGTTGATTTTCCGGATATATTATCACGCGTGACGTTGTCGCCATGGTCCTGTCCGGCCAATTATATTGGATTGACCTCAAATATTAATGCGAAAAAAAAACTACATGATACAAAATCCAATGTACGGCGAATCGGTTCATTGTGAAGTCGACCGAAAGTTTTTGGTGTAGGGTGGAAAAACATATTTTAGATTCTCATATATTTGTACGACATTTTGCGCGTAATCAACATATTTGGCAGTTTCGGTAAATAAACCGAAAGTAATTTTAGCTTTTGCGAATTCCTGAGACGAGTGTCCGCTAACTACGCCGTCATCTATAATGTCATAATACTGCGCAAAATTACACAGCCCTCAGCTGGCAGGAAATATGAATTATGCATTTGGGTTTAAAACTAATCCTCGTGTTGCAAATTTATTAAAAACAGTATTGCCTATTTTGTAAATATCAACGTAGTATGCGATCGTTCCAAAAGCGCGATGGGGCATCGTTTTCAATAGGAACAGGAATTTTAAAATTCCTGAAGTGACAACCGGGTTAATCTTGTCAAATAAATAAAACGACTACTTACATTCAGCATGCTCGAAGTTTTTCCATATTCCAACTGAACTCCTAAAGGTTCGCATGGGTCTCCACATATGTTTACTCACATAGTCAAGAACAGCCAAAATGTCTATATTTATTTGAAAAAGGACAAGAATAATCTTTTGCACATTCGGCGCCCTAGAAACAATAATACATTATGAAGGAAACTATCCTAAATTTTTTTAGGATTCAAGTTGCAGTAGGTCTGAAAACATTTTATGCTAGGTGTTTAGGAAATTTGCAGCTCACAGTTAACCTCAAAATGTACAGAGTACGATTACTGCAACTGAACAGACACTACGTTACGTTAATCGTTTGCCAAACAAATCCCTTGTTGTAATTTCATGAGACGTTTTTTACACTACCATTATTTTCATGTCCATCGCTTTGTAATGCCGTTGAAAAAAAAGTGGTTACGGAATTCGTAATCCCTCAAAAAAGACGGCATGTATACTTCGAAAGTGCTCATTTCTGATATAATCTTGAATAATACTGGCTTCCATCTATGGTACAGCACTTATCCATACGCGCAGGCCTTGTAACATAAAAAGGGATGTAAAGTGCGTAACCGATCTGATGCAATGTTGGCCTAACTACTGAAATTCGTTTTCGATTAGAAAGGATTACAAAGGTGGGGTTGTAATGTTGCTTATCAAACGAAATAATCCCGTAGTATTTCGGATTCGGTAGGGTGTCGGATTTTGGATGAATTTTTTTCGACCTCATATGGAAACTACACTCCGTCAAAAATGACCACATAAGAAACATGTATTTTTCACATTGAATTGACAATTTGTTCTTTGGCTGACTCTTGAATGCCAGTTGACGCACTAGGTTTTTCCGATTCATAGACATCTGTTGACGCAAAGCCGATCAATTTAACACAGAAGGATCTTAAATAGGACATATTAGTCAAAAATGCTGCAGTTTGCATCAAGGACATTCGTTAGTAAAATTAACGATTTCGTTTGCTTCAAATGTGTGCTAGCTTACTGTAGAGACGACTTCATAATCTTAATTCGGACTAAAGAAATGTAAAGCAGCTTAATATATCCTAGTTAAATGGGTTGAGTAATGTACAATTTATAAATATCCACATGTGAATGGAGAGGAACAAAAATGGCGGCTCAATTTCAACAGCCCGCCGAAATCTGCATTGTATTAAACTGATAACTGCTCAGAAAATTCCCTGCAATTGAGACACGCCACATGAAGTCATGATAAAAAACGAATAATGGATTAAAATAAGGATGTGATGGGCCGCTGCATTGATAAGTAATTTGATTATCACCTCCGGGTTTGTGCATCAAATAAGCGGTACATACAGCATGTATTTAAAAGTTACTAGCAATTGCACAAACAGTGTAACTGTATAATATTTTCAGGAAACATTGCTCAGTAGGGAGAACACCGGTGTACATTCCCAAGTCTCTTAGATTTTTTTGCACAATTACTAAAATAGTCTATTCCAATTTAGGATTGGTGCACTGACTAACATTACAATTTTTACAAAGAGAGCAAATTGCGTTAAAACAGTGTATTTTGACTTAACGCTAACATTTAATCACGTGGTAATCCAACCGCAAAATGCCACACATAACATATTCGGTCCCGAAATGTTTTTCTTATCTATGTCAACAAGGATGCTTTGATAACATTGTGATGTCCACCTTATGATGTCTCTTTCAGAGAGGAGCATGTCTGAAATGCAGATGCCACTTATTTTTTCGAAAACACCCGTCTGTGCATTATTGAAGACACGGACACAAAACGATTCTGCAAAAAAGAATGGCGTGCTCAACGAAAGTCTGCAGACGTCCCTGTAGAAAAAGTCATTATTGGCGTCCCTTCATAACATCTGCTTTATTTGTCACAACCTCCGATTAAAAAGCTACCAAATTTAAGTTAGTATCTAAACGAAGAATGTAGTCCACTACTCCAAACGCACTCTACCTGTTTTTCCCTGACAAGCTCTCTACTGAATATTACACCTTTCCCAGGAATGTATGTGCAACATCGAATGTGCACGGTTGAACATATTTGGTAACCTATAAGTGGTGATCTGATTGCTTGTGAGCGTGCATACGACGTTAATTGAGGTAATTTTCTCATTGGTGTTTTAAATTTTTACACACGCACAGATGGGCAGCGTGCACTTATTAACAAGTGCTCCCACCCCACGTGTATCCGAACGTTATAAGTCGAGGAGGAATTGAGGTAGATATAGCGCAATTGGGCTTTGCGACATGGGTTTTCGAAGCCTGCGACCACAAGGAAATTTGATGCTGATGTGTATATCTACGAATAACTGTTTTTTTAGTAGTGTCGGTTAAAGTGTTGAACGTTATTTTACATAACTCCTTCAAATGCCCTGCAATGGCTTCATCCGTGGTGTTATCAATTAACCGAAATTTCATTTGCGGCAGTCCTGCGGCATTTGTCATGCCTGACAAGGAGGCTTCGCTTTCTGCCTCGTGAAGGTGCAGGCGGCAACTGAATAAGCAAATCATTAAATTTGAATAAATGCCTTTGGGACAGGATTAAGCAGTTTTGACAATAACATTTCAATGTGTTCAAACTGAGCTGGCCGCATAGATATATTTACGGTGCATGCTGGTTTTAAAAATCATGAACTATATGTTCCCACGTTAAATACATCTTCCAAGCCATTCGGATATCATTCTTAAATACCTACCTTTTTCCCAATCTTCTGGGATCACGGGTGATATTACTGGGCAATATTATCATTCCCATTTCCATGGAATATGTCGTACGTGCAGTATTTTGAGTTCAGTGAATATAATAGGATATTTTATTGTGATAGGCAAAGGCTAATATCTATACAAAATTCCGTTCACAGGAATTAATAGGAAAAACAATTTCTACAACCGGACGAACAACACCTCTGGATTTTCTTATTATACCTTCTATCCAGAGCTTCTCTCCGGCTTTGTAGTTGCGAGCAAACACCTCCTCTCCCTCGCGAAAGTAATATTTTGTTTTTCGTGGAACTCGAGCTTCCGGTTGTAGGTACTGTAATCGCGTATCCGGCTGTCGTCCCAAAAACCGTTCGGCTGGTGTCTGGCCCCCAAGATCACTTTTTGGAGTTGTTCGATAGGCAAAGAGGAATGTGTTGAGATACTCCAGTTTAACACCAGTGTTCCACATCTTTTTCATCGCTCTCTTGAACGTGTCGACGAACCGTTCTGCCTGGCCATTTGATTGTGGATGGAATGGTGGTGACGTCACATGTCGAATTCCCCATTTCTGACACAGTTGTTGGAAGATTGATGACGTGAACTGAGGGCCGTTATCCGTCACAATCTCCGTCGGGATGCCGTATCTAGCTATTTGTTCTTCCGTCTTCCTTGCCGTGATATCAGCAGTAGCTGCCGAGACTTCGAAAACTTCTAGCCACTTGGACCATGCATCGACAACAATTAGAAACATTTGGTTGAAAAACGGACCCGCAAAGTCCATATGGACTCTACTCCAAGGTCTCGTTACCTCTGGCCATGGCACGGGCGGTACTTTCGGTGGGTTCTTAGCCTCACGTCCACACGGGCAGCAGCTTCGAACAAAAGATTCCACGTCGTTATCAATTCCCGGCCAATATACGTACTTGCGGGCCAGTTGTTTCATGCGGGTCATACCCTGATGTCCGGCGTGGAGCTTCCGCAAAACTTGTTGCTGATATCTGGCTGGGATCACCACTTTACCATCGTACATTATGCAGTCTTCCGTGATATACAACTGTTCCTTTCTGTTCCTGAAAGGCTTTATGGATGGGTGTACTTTGTCGTCGCTGGGCCAACCGTTCCGAATAAACTCTTTCACCTGGCGCAAAAGTGGGTCTGCTGCAGTGGTGGCCCTGATGTGCTCGGCTGTGAGCGGCAACTGTCGGATGACACCTCTAAACTCGTCATCATCTTGCATTAGCGAACTGGCGACAACCACGTCTTCTTGATTTTCGTTGCTTGTTCTCAGTCGCGATAAAGCGTCCGGAGCTCCAAACTTCTGAGTAGGCACATATTGGATCTGAAAGTCATAGCTTTGAAGAATAGTACTCCAACGTTGTATTCTCCTAGCTACGTTCTGGGGAACACCACGGTTAGTACCCAAAAGGAACTTCAGTGGCTGATGATCAGTGTGCAGTGTGAAGGGTCTGCCATAAATAAACAGGTGGAATCTCTGTACGGCGAAGATAATGGCCAGTGCCTCCTTTTCAATCTGGCTATAATTCCGTTCTGCCTTCGTCAGTGACCTGGCGGCATGCATGATTGGCTGTACTCTCCCATCTGCGTCCTTCTGAAGGACCACTCCGCCTAAACCGTAATCAGAGGCGTCTGCCTGGACAATGGTTTCTTTGTCAGCCTCGAAGTGTGATAGCATAGTTGAGTCGCATATCTTTGTCTTTATGGCATCAAACGCGTTTTGACATTCTGGAGACCAAACAAACTCCACGCCCTTGCACAGAAGTCGGCTGAGTGGAGGTTTTAAACTGTGCAACCCAGTGATGAACGGACCGTAGTAGCTGACCAACCCCATGAACGATTGCAGCTACTTCGTGTTCTTCGGCACTTTCATGTTCTGGAATGCCTTCACCCTCTCTGGGTCAGGGGCACGCCCATTCTCGTTGACTATGAACCCGAGATAGTGGATCTCCTTCCGCAAAAATTCACTTTTCTCCATATTGATCTTATGGCCGTAGTCGATCAGATTGTCCACAACCTGGTCCAGCCTTTGAGTCAGCTCTTCCTCTGAGCTACCGACAACCAAAATATCGTCCAGATATGCAATAGTCCCGGGAACATTCGTAAGCATCGCATCCATAATCTGCTTGAACACACTAGGCGCCGTTTTCACGCCGTAGTTTAGGCGAATGTATCTAAAGAGACCCTTATGCGTATTTATGGTCAAAAGCTCCTGTGATTTCTCGTCCACCTCAATTTGCAAGTAAGCTTCGGATAGATCGATCCTTGCAAAGACTTTCCCTCCATTTAGAGTAGCAAAAATCTGCTCTAAGGTTGGCAGCGGGTAATGATAATCTTCTAGTGCGTCGTTCAGGCCCGTTGAATAATCCGCACATAATCGTATTTGTCCGTTGGGTTTCTTCACCGCCACGACTGGAGCAGCCCAAGCTGAATAATTGGTAGGATAGATTATGCCCTTTGTCTGTGGTCTTTCTAGTTCAGCTTCTACGGACGACTGTACCGCAAACGGGACTCGTCGGCTCTGCTTGAAAGCTGGCTTTTTCTCCGGCTTCACTTTCAAACTTATCTTCGTTTTCGTACACCTGCCGGCCGCGTTCTCCATGCGTTCATATACTTATTCTTCAGGACCTCCTCAGTAGTGTTGTGCACCGCGCTGCAAATTTCGTCAAAGGGACGGTTCCACAATCCCAGTTCGGAGATCGTCTTATTTCCGAGAAGATTGTTACGGGTCTTCGACACATAGGCATCTGCGAGGCAAGTCATGTTTCGAAAACTGACAGTCGCCTGGAAAACGCCTTCAAATTCCATACGCGTCTCGCTTGACGCCCACGCTATGATCTCTGATGGTCTCAGTTCTGGAGAACCGATGTCCTCCCATGTGCGCATGCTGATTATGGTCAGATCAGAAGCCGTGTCTACTTGTAATGTGATCGGCTTTTCGTTAATCTTCACTGTCAGGTATTTCCGGTGTTCATAGTTGAGTACATGCGAATCGTCTTCTAAAACGACATGGCAATTCTTTCTTGGGCTAGTGTGCGCTGCTCTGCAATGTGAAGCTTTATGGCCAACACGGGAACATTTGTAGCACTTCCTACTACGATAGGGACATTCACTCACGTAATGCCAGCCGCCGCACAGCCAACAAGCCATCTTTGGCTTCCGTGGAGAAACTCTATTTGGTTGTGGTTGTCTCGATTTTGTGTCGAAAACGTAAACTGGCTGACTATTTGTGCTTCCAATAAGCGGGGTGTCTTGCTTGATATTTGTGATTCGGACACATTCCTCTGCCAGTTCCTGTACTGTCATATCGCCTTTCTGGTCTAGCTGGGCGAGTAAACGCGTGCGCACATCTGCATCTTCTGGCAACGTCAACGACTTAATGAAGAATAGTGCTTTAATCTGTGTGCTGGTGGCCTGTTCTAGCTCGGCTTGTTGGAAAGTATCATTAACTCGACCGGCCAAGTCAAAATAGTCTTCTTCAGGCTTACGTTCTAGCTTGAAACATTCATAACGTCGATTAAATAAAGACTTTGTAAAACAGAACAATGCTCTCAAATGCTTGACTGTGTCCTTAAACGAGACATCTGATGGTTTCTGAGGCAGAATGAACTTTACGTACCGCTCGTGTTCCCGCTGGGCCAGTTTTAGCAGAATGATTTCCACTTTCGTCTTGTCGTCCAGTTCTGCTCCCTTCTCTTCGAACAGTCCTTCGTACTTTCGAAACCAGGCTTCGAAATTCACGCCTCCCTCTGGATCGTAAACGAACTCGTTGATCCGTTGTTCGACCTGTTTCCTCTTGTTCTCTCTGGATGCCGGTCCCCAATTTCGTTGCATTTCCGTGAGTAATGTCATGAAGCTGGCCTGCTGGGCCTCCAGTATGTGCTTCATTTGTTCTTCTGATATCCTTTTGCTGCACCTGCGTCGCCAGTTGTTATGACCTGGCAGGAAGGTAGGACAGGAAGAGAGCCGGTTCGGAGGACAAGCACTTTATTGGAACTTGCGAACAAGAGGGGGTTACAACTCGTAAGAACGTGTGCTATTTATTGGCTCACGTGCGTTCTGGAACATTCCGTCCAATGACGTGCCAGTCGTAGAGGGCGTTCTAGAATGTTCCTGTCCAGAGCGTGCTGGTCGCTGATTGGCCATCGCGTGCGCGATAACCCCGCCGCGGAAACGTCTGGAATGTTCGGCCATCCATTGATTGGGCCGCACACGTGAGCAAAGCCACCACGCGTGCTCGGCGCTGCAGTGCGCGCCGGTCGGTTGTCTAACTTCGCGCGTGACTCAGGTCGCCCACTTGGTCCTTTAATTGGCGCCTTAGGCCGTGGATCTACGCCGTTTTCACACTCCATAGCAGTCGGTAATAGTATTCTGCCTATATCATGCATCGCTGAGCGGCTGCTGTTTGGGCTCGGGAGAGAGCCCTAAGGCACAACGAAACGAGTGAGTTCCGTAACACGCCCAACGAGCGCTCCTCTACCATTGTGTATTCCCGATCGCAACCGACAAGAAAATGCGTCCGTGTCTCAGTGGCTAGAGGAGTTAAACTTCTAACCGACAGATCGGGGAATCGAGCTACAGGGGTTCCAAACTTCAGGGCTGGGATAACTGGCTGACGACTGCTAGTAGGCCAGAAATGGCCATTCCAGTCTTCCTTGTCCTGTTGGTGATACTATTTTACATACACGTGGATAAGAATCGGAAAATGCAGAAAGCCAAAAGCCGCGACATTCTATCCACAATTTGTGACCTTTGGCATTATGCTCAGTCAACAACAAAATGACATTAGTAGAGCTAAGTGGTGAAAACGTGCGTTTAGATGTAAGAAAGAAAGAACGGTAATTGTAACTGTCAAACTGGAAGCCAAATGCCTTATATTGGAGCCTCTGTGTCAAGCATGCAGAAAGTTGAATAATAACCTTCAGGATTTAAAACAACTTCCTGTGGCGAACTTATTATATGTAAAATTAGAATAGGCCGAGATATCAGGTGCCCGCGTATAACGATCACGGGGACGATCAATTGATTGACTGTGTAATTTTAAGCCCTTTGCCCACCGTGACATGAATCAACGGAAATCAAGAATTCAGTTATAAATGTAGTTATAAACCGAGTCCGCGCACGACATGTTTTACATATATTTGGTATAAATCACTAAATAAACATAGGAGTAAGCCAAATCTCCTAGCATCGCATCCCGTTTTAGTCAGATTGTTTTTGACCAATCAGTCGAGTTCGCTGTTTGTTCAGTAATCCACTCAAATTCACATTAAAAGGCTGATTAATTGGGCAAAACATTTTCACAAAGTATATGACACTCGATATTTAATAATATAGAAATTGGATTTGAGGTGTCAATCACATAAACACTAGTGTCAAAGCGCTCGAATTAAACCTCTTTATATCCCTAGTGTGCATTGATCTGGCTTCAACGTAATCGCAATATTGACTACTTAATAAATGCAGTATTCTGCGCTCGGTTGAGCTTTCATGATTTTCCATACAGTGGTGTCGAGTTGCAAATGATAAGTAATCCATCTTAAGTTTCTGCACATTTTAGAAGTCAGGTAACGCATCCTAATACGCGTTTTCAAGCGTTCAATGTTTTTCAAAATTAGAAGAATGACAGATATTTTACGCATTATTTTTCAGACGCATCTTAATTCTTGTCCAAACAGTTGACAGTAATTTTTGATTACGTTTCTAAAAGTCAAAATTGGTCCTTTTTACGTACAGAAAACAATGTAACTTACAATAATGGATGATCGAGCAAGACATTTTACTGCCAAACGACCTTAATAAACTAGGCAGCATGGGAGTGTTCATTAAGAATACAGGGCAACCCACTAGGTTTGAAAAAAATGAATAATGATTTTTGAATTTCTCACAGCTCAATTTTTCCGAATGTCATTTAGCGTTGCTGCCGAAGCCCTGTCGTGGCCGAAGATGGACTTGTGGGCTAGTTAGCGGTTTTTTTTCAGCCGTTTATTGCACAGAGCATATAGCGACAAAACATGGTGTCATGGTAAACATTTTTTGGAAACTGTAAATATCAACCTATCTAGGCAAAACTAAAATGGGATATGACAAACATTTCGCAGACCAGAATTAAGGCAAATTACTTAAATTATGTGCCGGGACTTGCTTTACAATATTATGACACATTGTCTTTGCAAACCTCATCATTGATATACGATATTCATTTATGAATTTTAAAATGCTTGAAATGTTTGCGACTTTATAGCATAGGCCATATACGGACACTTATTTCACTGCTCTTCTAGTTGTTTGGAATGTGTAAATTGTTCTGCAGTCAATAAGTAGCTTTAAAGGGAACGTACAGATGACGAGATTTGTTAGGCGTTACAAAATAATTTACGCATTTGCAAAAAGCACGACAACTGATTAAATTAAATGTCTGAGTCTTACATGTCCTGATGCAGCTATACAAGTACCTAGACGACAAGATCCATCATATACGGTTCTATCTACAAAACGTCAAAGCCTCATCAACTCATAGGAAAAACTCGAAGCTTAACAAATCGTTTTTTGTTGCAACAGGTAAAAGCAGCCCGATGAAATTTAAAATTGCTTACCTTGTTATCTTTTTTAAAGCGTTTTTTATAATGTAACTTTTGAAGGATTATTACATAGGTTGATCTAACATACTTATATTTA